TCTGGCGCATTAATTAAGGGATCCAACTTAACAGTTTGAGGTTCGTAAATTAATAAGGGGTCCCGAACAATAGTTTATGAATTTGTAAATTACTTTGGGGATCTGACGCATCAATTTAGTGGTCCAAGGTAACAGTTTGAGGTTATGTAAATTAATAAGGGGTCCCGAACATCAGTTTACTTTGGAGGTCTAACGCATCAATTTAGGGGTCCAGCCTAACAGTTTGAGGTTACGCAAATTAAAAAGGGGTCCCAAACATCATTTTGGAGGTCTATAAATTAGTTTGGGGGTCTGACGCATCAATTAAGGGGTCTAAACGAACAGTTTGAGGTTACGTGAATCAATAAGGGGTCCTAAATATCAGTTTGAGGGTTTAGAAATTAATTTAGGGGTCTTACGTATCAATTAAGGGGTCCAACATAACAGTTTGAAACTATGAAAATTAATAAACGATCCCAAACATAAGTCTGGGTTTAAAATTAGTTTGGGGGTCTGACGCATCAATTAAGGGGTCCAACCTCACAGTTTGAGGTTACGTGAATAAACAAGGAGTCCCGAACAACAATTTGGGGGTTTAAAAATTTGTAAGGGGTCTGGAATATTTGTCTCTGGGTTTGGAAATTACTTTCGGGGTCTGACGCACCAATTTAGGTGTCCAAGCTAACAGTTAGAGGTTACTTAAATTAATGAGGTGTCTCGAACATCAGTGGGTTTGGAAATTGCTTTAGGGGTCTGACGCACCAATTTAGGGGTCCAGCCTAACAGTTTGTGGTTACGTAAATGAATAAGGGGTCTCAAACATCAGTTCGCCGGTTTAGAAATTAGTTTGGGGGTCTGACGTATCAATAAAGGGGTCCAACGTAACAGTTTGAAGCTACGAAAATGAGTAAGGGTTCCCAAACATAAGTTTGGGGTTTTTTAAATATGTTTGGGGTTCAAACGCATCAATTAAGGGTTTCAATTTATTAGTTTGAGGTTACGTTAATTAATAAGGGGTCCCGAACATAACGTTGGGGGTTTAAAAATTAATAAGCGGTCTCAAACATCAGTTTGTGGGTTTGGAAACTACTTTGGAGGTTTGACGCATCAATTTAGGGGTCCAAGTTAATAGTTTGAGGTTACGTAAATTATAAAGGGGTCCCAAACATCAGTCTGTGGGTTTGGAAATTACTTTGGGGGTTTGAGACATCAATTTAGGGATCCAAACTAACAGTTTGAGGTTACGTAAATTAATAAGGGGTCCCGAACATCAGTTTGGGGCTTAAAAATTAATAAGGGATCCCGGACATTAGTTTGTGACACTTTGTGTGTTTGAAAATTACGTTAGGGGTCTAACGCATCAACATAGGGGTCCAAACTAACAGTTTGAGGTTTCGTAAATTAATAACGGGTCTCGAATATTAATCTGTGGGTTTGGAAATTAGTTTGGGGGTCTGAAGCATCAGTTTCAGGATATATGCTAACAGTTTGAGGTTACGTACATTAATAAGGGATCCCGAACATTAGTTTGGAGGTTTGAAAATTACTTCGGGGGTCTAACGTATCAATTTAGGGATCCAACCTAACAATTTGAGGTTACGTAAATAAATAAGGGGTCCGAAACATCGGTTTGGGGGTTTAGAAATTAGTTTCGGGGTCTGTAGCATCAATTAAGGGGTCCAACCGAACAGTTTGAGGTTGCATAAATTAATAAGGGATCCCAAACATCAGTTTGGGGGTTTAAGAATTAGTTTGGGGGTGTGACGCATCAATTAAGGGGTCCAACTGAAAAATTTGAGGTTACGTAGATTAATAAGGGGTATCAAACATCAGTTTAGGGGTTTAAAAACTAGTTTGGGGGTTTGACGTATCAATTAAGGGGTGTAACGTAACAGTTTGAACTACGAAAATTAATATAAGGTCCCAAACATAAGTTTGTTTTTTTTTTAAACTAGTTTGGGGGTCTAATGCATCAATTAAAAGGTCCAACTTAACAGTTTGAGGTTACGTAAATTAATAAGGGGTCCCCAACGTCAGTTTGGGGTTTATAAATTAATAAGGGGTCTCGAACATCAATTTGGGGGTTTAAAAATTAGTTTGGGGCTTTGACGCATCAATTTAGGGATCCAAACCGAGCAGTTTGAGTTACGTGAATTAATAAGGGGTCCCTAACATGAGTTTGGGGATTTAGAAATTAGTTTGGCGCTCTGACGTATCAATTAAGGGGTCCAACGTAACAATTTGAAGCTACGAGAATTAATAAGGGGTCTCAAACGTAAGTTTGGGGGTATAGAAATTAGTTTGGGGATCTGAAGTATCATTAAGAGGTCCAACGTAATAGTTTGAAACTACGAAAATTAAGAAGGGGTCCCAAACATAAGTTTAGGGTTTTTTAAATAAATTTGGGGGTCCAACGCATCAATTAAGGGGTCCAACCTAACAGTTTGAGGTTACATAAATTAATAAGGGGTCCCGAACATTTGTTTGGGGGTTTATAAATTAATAAGGGGTCCCGAACATCAGTTTGGGGGTTTGAAAATTACTTTGGGGGTCTGACGCATCAATAAGTTAGGGGGTCTGACACGTATTAATTTACGTAACCTCAAACTATTAGGTTGGACCCCTTAATTGATGCGCAAGACCCCCAAAATAATTTTTAAATCCCCAAACTGATGTTCGCAACCCCTTATGAATTTCTAAACCCCCAAACTGATGTTTGGGACCCCTTAATTGATCCGTCAGATTTCTAAACCCCCAAACTGATGTTTGGGACTCCTTGATTGATGCGTAAGACCCCCAAACCGATTCCTAAACCCCCAAACGAATTTCTAAACCCCCAAACGAATTTCTAAACCCCCAAACTGATGTTTGGGACCCCTTATTGATTTACATAATCTCAAACTGTTAGGTTGGACCCCTAAATTGATGCATCAGACCCCCAAAATAATTTCCAAACCCCCAAACTGATGATCGGGACCCCTTTTTGATTTCTAAGCCCCAAAACTGATGTTCAGGATCCCCTTTTAATTTCCGTAGCATCAAACTGTGACGTTGAACCGCTTAATTGATGCGTCAGAACGCCAAACTTATTTCCAAACCCCCAAACTAATTTCTAAACCCCCAAACTAATTTCTAAACCCCCAAACTGATGTTTGGGACCTCTTATTAATTTACGTGATTCAAAATGTTACATTGGACCCCAAAATTGATATCATTGTTGACATAAAATAACGTCGTAGCTTCCTAAAGTTTGGATGGGAGAGGTACTTCTGGTTTAATCACCACCATGTTTCCCCAGGTATTTTTTCAAAGTAGTTGCTCTAGGAGTCCCTATGTACGCTATGTCCGCGCGGGTACATAGCATATAACGGACTTTCCCTCGAACACGTGTACAACGAGTTTTTTTTTTTTTTTTTTTTTTTTTTTTTTTTTTGAATATGGTCTCATTTGTATTCAAGGGGATTACACACAGCGAGGCCAATCTGCTGAATGGGACAGCGCAGAAACTACCCTGTTCAGCAGAAACGTCTTTTTTTTCCCTCTACATTTTTTTATTTTTTTTTCATTTATGATTGATTCATTGATTGATTGATTGATCGTGTGGACTGATCGGATAGATTGGTCTCTCTCTCTCTCATGCGAGTGTCAGCATGCACATGTGTGTGTGTGTGTGTGTGTGTGTGTGCGCGCGCACATGTGTGTGTGTGTGTGTGTGAGAGAGAGAGAGAAGCGGAAACGAGCGGGCTCGCACCTGTTGCTGCCTTGTCCTGCCTGCTCGTGCTCACTCCTTCCCACTTGGCTGTCTCTTTGTCTCACACACACACACACACACACACACACACATACACAGAGGGAATATCGTCCTCCTCAGGCCAGGCTGTGTAGCATCATGTTCGGGTTCGGTGACCAAACCCAAACGTTCGGGACCGAACGTGAACGAGCGCTGAAACTCCTCGAACGCGAACATAAAAATGTTAAAAAAAAAAAAAAAAAAAAAGTTCTCCAAAAAATCGGAAAAAAATAATTGTTATGTAAAATAATAATACAAACAACGTTTGCCTTGGAGATATGGTCACATTCGTAACCAAATTCGAGTTAAAAATCAAAAACCAAAAAACAAGTTTTTTTTTTTTTTTTTTGAATATGTTCGGCTGAACACGTTCGGGTGGCGTTCGGCCGAATGCCCGAACATGTTCGGACGTTCCGAAAAACTCCGAATATGTTCCGTGTGCTACACAGAGGCCAGGGTTGTGGGCACTACCGACAAAACTGCCCTAGAAAACCTATTTTCATATTCAATTGAAAAAAGGTCCCAGGCCTATGTAAACTACACTACGAGCACCATCGCCCATGCTTTTTTCTTTCAATGCCCTCAGAACCCAAGAAATATATTATCATGGGTCGTACACATACTAGGGGGCTCGTTAGACACTCCTCGGGGCGTCCTTGGGGCCCGAGGAGTTTTCCTTTAGGGCTTCCGAGATTTTTTCCACCGTCATTCCACTTATCCTCGGGATGGATATCCAAGGAGGATTCCTACAGAGGTCCCGCGACCAGTCATCCTCTAGTAAACGATCTTATCGATGACTGTGGGGTGGGGTGGGGTCGGTGGTCCATGGGTGGTTATCCGCTGGTACGGTCGTGATCCTGCTTCGATTGGCGACAAAAATCCGAATCTTCGCTGCGACCCATAAAAAAAAAAAAAAAATAGGCACGCCGTCCCTGTTTGAAATTCAAATTTTGAATGATGTCGTTGGGGTGAGGGCGGTTCGTCGTGGACCCGTGGTGTTGCGGCGGCTGATGGAGGACGTCGGAAAGGAACCTCCTTCCATAGCGTCTCGGGGGGGTTGGCGTGGGTGCTGAGTGCGGCCAGGCAAGGAAGACATCGAGGGAGAAGACGCCATTGCGGCAGTCGCTTGGGGGGAAGATTCCATCGCAAGTCGTCAGGGGAGAAAACATCGTCGCTCCAGTCGTCGGGGGAGGAGACGCCATCGTGGCAGTCATCGGGGCGAGTACTGCGTGCGATCAGACAAGGAAGATATCGGTGGAGAATACGACATCACGGCTCGTTTGGGAGAGATGAACGACGACAACCTTGACGTCGGTGGGAAGCTGATGATGGCGGAGAGGACGGTAGTGGCAGTGACTGTTACCGCAATCCTCTTTCGTTGTCAGATGGAGAGGACGGCGAAAAGAGTGAAAACACAGATCCGTGCAAGGAGGAGGAAGGTCACGCAGTGCGCAGTAGTGGAAGGCCCTAGGTTTGACACGGCCGCCATCTGCGATGTCGTCGTTCACGTGTGCTGCGCCTTGGGTTGCGGAGATCTTCCAAGAGCAACACCGAGATGGTGGATGAAAAGGAGGACGAGTGGGGCGTGGGAGGATCTGCGGCAATGGGATGACGTGATGGAGGACAACTTTCGAGACAAGCTGACCATGTCACCAGGTGTCTTCCGGGAGATTGCGGAAGGTCTCTCGTCGTTGCTGCAGCGCCGTCACCACCGTGTGATATTCTACAGGGAGCCGCTGCAGCCATATCAGATCGTCGCATACACGTTGTACAGGCAGGCGTCGGGGGAGACATACGAGAGCAGCACGCGTAACTTTGGCATCAACAGAGCGTCGAGTTTGGTGGCGATGAGGGACGTCATTGTCGCGTTGCTGACTGTCTACTGTGACAAGATATCGTGGCCGGCGGGGGTGCGCAAGTCGGTCGTCCTCCGTGCTTTCGCGAGCAAGGGGTTCCCTAACTGTCATGGTTGCATCGATTGCACACATGTGACATATCTACATCGACAAGCCGGCAAACGCCCCTGGCGAGGACTACTACGATCGGAAATGACGATTCTCGATCATCATGCAAGTCATCGTTGATCTAGACTTGTGTGTGGTGGACCTCTTCGTCGGCTATCCTATGAGCTGCCAAGACGTCCGTATCATTCACATGTCTAGTTTATGGGCGCGTGTAGAGGCTGGTTACCTGCCTGTGATGCTGCCATTTGGCATCCAGACGAACGGCTACCTGCTGGGCGATAATGGTTACCCACTGTCGGAATGGATAGTCGTTCCCTATGGCACCACTACTCGTCACCCGTCGGAGACGCGGTTCGACAATAACCAAATATTGCGAGGGAGGCAATTGAGAGGACTTTCGGCAGGCTGAAGGGGATGTGGAGGCTGTTCCTGTGGTCGCACAGGACGAACATGGCCTCTTACGACGCTTGGGAGGAGAGAGAGAGAGAGAGAGAGAGAGAGAGAGAGAGAGAGAGAGAGAGAGAGAGAGAGAGAGAGAGAGAGGTGTTCGTCATGACACTTCGTCTCACGTGTCGTTTTTCGCATCAGCATGTGGGTAGTGTGTTGCCTCTTTGGACCGAACATGCAGAGACGTGTCCCCACTGTGGGACGCCATGACCTTGACGAGTGTCACGGGTTGCCATTTTTTTGGTAGTTGATCTGTGCAGCCGTGTGTCGTTGGTTGGTTAGTTACTCTTCGTTCGTACATTTGGAGATTTGTGCGTTTCGATATCCGCACATGGCATCCAACCCCTGTGTCGGCAATTGTGTTGTGTACTTTTCCCATTAAAGTGCTTCTTTCACAGAGAAACGTTTGTTCGTTGTTTGGACTCCCTTTCTTTTGCATTGCTCTGATCTTTCGCAACCTGTGTGTGTGGATGATGTGTGATGTTGTTTGCTGTCGACATTTTTGCTTATTTTTCAGTTGTGTCAGTGTGTGGTACAACCTGCGGTGGTGGGGGGTGGAAGGTGGGGGGGAGGGGGGGCGTGCTTCTGTGTGTTGGACAACTTCCTATTGCATAGCCTTAAAACTAAAAGCTCTCAAAAGAATTTGTACTGATCATCCAGTGCTGAATAACATTGTCCTTCCCTTCCCTTTTCTCCTAACACCTTACGCCAACAAGGTATGCATAGGTGCAGTCCAGACGAACAACAAACACTGGCGTGAGGCACACCTTACACAATCACATGCACAACAAACAATGGTGTGACACACACATTACAAAGGTGGCATTACATGCATCACGATCGCAGAAAGACCCCACGCATGCAACAGAATGCCAACCCACCATATTACTGTCGTCCAAACCTAGAAAACCGTGTTCTCAATTTAAGAATGAAGTTGAATGAACCCCCCCCCCCCTCCCCCCCCCCCCCCTCTCTCTCTCTCTCTCACAACATCCATCACACAACGCGAAGAGACTACAAAGCGATACTACTCTAGAAAGATGCCATCAGGGCCATGCGACTGCGCACCAGCACATCCCCCAACCTCCACATGGGACGTCGACACCCCCGCCGTCTGGCACGAGCCGCCCCTTGTGCATTGCGACAACAAGCCACCGACACCCATCAAACTCTCGATTGCGCGCTTTGTTATTGCGTGGCTGACCCCTGACGCACCTGACGATGCCTATGCAACCGTTTGAACGCGCCGAAGGTGCGTTCGCGTTCAAACGGTCTGGGGCCGCGTTCAATGGCGTTCAAACGCGCTACGCGCGTTATGGCGCGTTTTTTTTGAACGCGACCCCGGGTCGTTCGCGCGCGCGGCAGGGGCCACGGGGTGGTGGTCAGCGTTTTCGGAGATGAAAAAAAAAAAAAAAGGCCACCACTGGCCACACCCCAGCGCCCCAGCGCCTCAGTGCCCCGCACCCCGGCGCTCCGGCGCCCCCGCACCCTGGCGCCCCGGCGCTCCAGCGCCCCAGCGCCCCAGCGCCCTACCGCCCAACACCTCAGCGCCCCCGCACCCAGGCGCCCCACGCCCAGGCGCCTTAGCGCCCCAGCGCCCCAGCCTAGCGCCCCGCACCCCGGCGCCCCAGCGCCCCAACGCCCCACCACCCCACATCTCGGCGCCCCAGCGCCCTTACACCGGCGCCCAGGCGGCCCAGCGCCCACACCTCAGAGCCCCAACACCCGACCGCCCCGGCGCCCATGCGCCCACACCCCGTCGGCCCGCCTACAACACGACCACACCACCCTACAACACACCCTCCATTGATCACCTCCCCACCCCCCCGCACCCCGTCGCCTCCACACCCCATTGGCTGAACCCCGTGACTTGAAACCCCCCGAACCGCTCCACCGCGACACCCACACCCCGTCGGCCCGCCTACACCACCGCCCCACCCCACATCCCACATCTCCCCCCCCCCCCGCCTTCACCCCCCGTCGGCCCCTCCCCCTGACGTACCTTAAAAAAGAAACAATACCCCACCCTCCGAAACGCTCCGCCCAGCACCCGCACCCCGTCGGCCCACCTACCCCAAATCCCCCATCCCCCCAAACGCGCCGCCCCAGCACCCACACCCCGTCGGCCCGCGTGCACCACAACCCCTCCACCCCACCCCATGCCCCACCCCCCCGCACCCCGTCGCCTCCACACCCCATTGGCTGAACCCCCTGATGCACCACCCCCCGAACCGCTCCACCGCGACACCCACACCCCGTCG